AGGGTCTCGTCTTCCGGCATCATATCTTTTTGCCTTTTGGTACTGTCCCTGGGGTTTTCATGGCAAAGATACTGGAGTGGGTTGCCATTTTCTGCTCCAGTGTATCACATTTTGGCAGAGCTCTCTGCTATGACCTGTCAATCTTGGGTGGCCCTGCACGGCATAGCTCATAACTTTATTGAGCTACGCAAGTACCTTCGCCACGACAAGGCAGTGATTCTTGAAGGAGGCTTGGAGATCCATGAAGGAGGGTTGGTGGTTACTCAGGACCAAAAAGAGGTGAATCCTGTTCCAGGTGAGTATTGGAACAAATCAGGCCAGTTTTCTCCCTGAAAGCAAGCATGATGAAAGTGTGGCTGTCTTCTTTTGGACACACAATGAGATGAAAAGGCTTCCTAAATAGGACCATGATCTTAGGGAACCCTTTGGGACAGGAAGGTATGGAAGACCAAGTATTAAATGGATTACTTCCATTAGAGAAGCCAGAGCCTTGACATTGCAAAAGCTGAGCAGGACAGTGAAAAGCAGGACACTGTGTAGGGCCTCCATTCCTAGGGTTGCCATATGGGCATGTAATAATGAGAACAAGATCAACATCCTCTTGCAAGTGGTTCCCACTTGATTACCTTGGTAGCTGTTGTTGCATTCTCCCTTGAAAGAGTGGTCTCCTGACCCATTCTACACATAGAAATCCAAGCTTGACTCGAGGATTGATCACTTTGGCAGCTCAAATGCTTTAGCACCTCCTTGTCTTGCATTCCATCTGTGAGTATTTATGGAAGGTACAGTTTTACTCCACTGGTGAAGGTAAGCATTGGTCAGCTCAGCACTGGATTATTGCAATGTGCTCTGTGCAGAGCTACCCCTGAAAGAAGCATGAAAGCTCTGACCATGACAGAATGCTACTTTGAAAACCCCCTTGGCAACTATCAGAAGAAGACCCTTGATTGACACTATTCCCACTCCACTATTGGTATGGATATTGGATAGGGTTGCAGTAAGGGTGTGTAATAACAGGAGCAGGCTCAAGGATGCCCAGATGAATGACCCTCATAGAGAAAATTTGAGGTGCTTGACCCAATTCTTTCTGCTTGCTGAATCATTCCACATGGATGCACTTATTCCCAGTTTTCTTTAGCACTAGCGTCAGTTTTGCGATGTTGGAGGTACCACATTTCAGTGGTTCTGCTCCAACCTGCACCGCTGCTTTTAGTAAATATGTAGAGAATCATGATTCTGCATGCTGGATCTACACTTCAGGGGAAATTATTGACTACCTCTTTGAGACAAGTGCCACTTGTCAAGCTGCCTGTGGAGTTCCAAGTATCTTTCTGCTGTGGTGTCATTGGTTTTCCATGGTTGCCTTTAGGTGCCTGAGGGAGATAAATTTGGACTCTCCCTGCTGGGAAGTTTGTGGATTGCCACTTGAGAGACTTCCAACTGGAGGATAGGCCCATCTTCACATAAGTTTAATGAAGATGTGTGATTTTCCCCTTCCAGCAAAATAGAAACTTAGAACCATAGAAAAGCAGAGTTGGAAGGGGCCATGAAGGCCATCAAGTACAACCCCCTGCTGTTGCAGTACACCACATTACACCATCCCACTCAGATGGTTGTCCAGTTTCTTTTTCAATGTCTCTAGTGTGGGAGAGCCCACCACATGTATAGGTAGCTGGTTCAACTGTCGTATTGCTCCACCAATGAAGAAACTTTCCTTATGTCCAGCCTGAATCTGGGTTGTCATAACCTGAATTGATTATTCCAAGTCCTACCCTGTGGTATCAGCTAGAAGAGATCTTTTTGTTACAGCCGTTGATGTACTTATACAGTGATACCATGTCTCCCCTCAGCCTTCTCTTCTCAAGGCTGAGCATGTCTAGTTTTCTCAGTCTCTCCTCATAGGGCAGTGTTTCCAAACCCTGGATGATATTGATTGCCCTCCTCAGAACCCTTTCTAATTTTTCCGAATCTTTCTTAAATATTGCATTTTGTCTGTATAGCACTGGCCATTGGGCAGTTGTTGTTATGCCTTCTCTTTCTATGTTATATCTTATTTTGTCTATGTTATATCCCATCAAGTAAATTCCAACCTATTTCACTCTGTGAATGAAAGCCAAAATGCTCGATCCATGGCAGGTAGATTCAGTTCCTCCACATTCAAGGCTGTGGCTTTTTCTCAGATTCAATCCATCATATATTTCAACTTGCCTTTCATTTTCTTCTTTCAACTCCCCCTAATATGATTGTCTACTCCTGGGAGCCCTGCCTTCTCATGAAGTTTGTGTAGAGACAAACAGTGGAGGGGAGAGAAGGGGACAACACTTCCAGAATACTAAGCATGACAATTTGGCTGGCCTTCCATGGGGAACCCCACTTTTGAGTGATGGCTCTGGGAGAAGGACCAGCCTGGTCAGGAACAGGAGTCTGGGAGACATCTGATGGGAGCAGCTAGGAATTCTGGGTAACTGTGCAAAGGGAGCTTCTCTACATGATATAACTGATTCTGCTCATCTGCAAATTGCTAAGGGAGAAAAGAAAGGAGATCAAAGGTTTCTCAGGCAGGAAATCTGATTCCAGATGGGATGCACCTTCTCTTTAGTATATAGAAAGAGCAAAGATGGCTAAAATCCTGAACATCCTTTCAACGCACAGATTCCTAGGGCTATAGAGAGGCCTAGAGATGCGATGGATGGATGGATGAAATCAACATGTTGTCTTCTCTGTCATTCTAGTTCCACCATTTCTTAAGAGGAGTCTGGCATACAAATGCTTCTATGAATGGGCAACCTTTGGATGAGCATGGATGGCTGGAAGCCAACTTTGATATTGTGAATTGGGTCCTCTTTCCAAATCATACCCCTGGACTGGTGACCATTGGTAGTTGGATGAGAGAGGAAATTCCAGGGAAACAGCTCAGCATCAACCCAGGTTCCATTGTGTGGCCCAAGCATTTTAACAAGGTGGGGAAAATGATATCTGTCCTATTACTCCATGTAATTATAAGACATACATTGCCAATCATTGCACAACTGTCTGGTGAATGAAGCTCATCACGCATCACAAGAGTTGCACTTGTGCCCATACATACAAAATCACCTTCCCATGGAAACTTCCTTATTGTAGGAGAGGCTGGGGAGTACTCCAGTCCCCAAAGCCTTCCCCTTGGTGATTGCTGCTCAGGTTTCTCAATGCACATGAAGACGTCTGACAAAAGTTCTTCAGCAACACTCCCAGTCTAATCCATACTGCCAGGGAGCTCAGCTTATAGTGCACTCAAAAGTGGACCCAGATCATCCAACACCTAGTCCCTGCAGAAGATTGAACATTTAGCTGTAGAAGGTAAAAAGGAAAGTTAACTCGGAATGAAGTAGGGAAATTAGCATGGATGAGGTGAAAGGTCAGTGAATGCCCAGGCCTCCCACGGAATTGTCCAACCGTCCAAGGATGGATCTGATCTCAACTCTTATTTCATGCACTGCAAAGCTTTCTCCAACTTGTGGCTCCCTGGCCATTTCATTGGGATGCTGCAGAACTCCTTTTTGCCTCTCCAAAAATTCACCATATGCACTGACCTGCTTTGGTGGTCACTGAAAGATTTTGAAGGAGGTGTCTCTGGAAGGCTGAGAACATCCAGCTCCATTTCTGCTCAGACAGCAGAATCCAGGGAAGAAAGGCATCTTTTGAAGTTCTGTGCATTGAATAAGGTCCACAGACTGGTTCTGATTCTTGACAATTGCAGATTGAATGGCTTCCTAGTTAGGACACACAAGAATGGGGGAGCCTGGGTGCTCGCAATGGCCTTGCATTCCCTGTGGATGAAGAAGAGGTGCTTCTGGATGTATCACAGACAGCATAGACCCAAGTGACTTATGGGGTCTGGAGCAAGAGGCAGAATCTCTGAGGTGTGTGCCAGCTCTGCTGTACCCTTGAGTGACAGCCTGGCCTATATTCTCCATGCATTGGGCACCTCATGCCATGTACTGTATATGGGGCTCCTGTGGTACAAAGGCAGGGGTCGTTGTGTGATGTGGCAAGCACGACGCTGAATGGTACTCCTAGCTATGACAATATTAAATCATTGTTGAAGCTTGACTTCCTAGTGGTTAAGAAATCAAGCACACACTTTTCTTGTGTACAAATAAAGATTCAAATCACATGGTCACAGAATCATAGAGTTGGAAGTGGACAGGACGGCCCCAGGTCTAACCTCCTGCTGGTTCAGAACAGCAAGTTATACCATCACTCAGACAACTGTACATTTGCATCTGGAATACCACCAGTGTGGGAGAGTCCACAATTTCCTAAAGCAACTGGTCACACTGTCATATTGTTTGAACAGTTAGGAATGTATTTCTGATTTCTACCTTGAATCTGGTTTCCTTTAACATGAGTAGAATATTCCATGTCCTGCTCTCTGGGATGATGGAGAGGAGATTCCGTCCTCTTGTTTGTGACAGCCTTTCAAGTACTTGTACTCTCCTAGCATCCCCCAGTCTTTTCAGAGCTAAACTAGCTCATTTCTCTCAGTCTCTGCTCACAGGGATTTGTTTTCAGACTTTGGGTCATCTTTGTTGCTCTTTTCTCAACCCTGTTCAGCTTGTCTGCATCTTTCATAAACTTTGGTGTTCAGAACTAGACACAGCACTCCAGATGAGGCCTAACAGGTGCTGAGTAAAGCAAAACTAGCACTTCATGGGATTTGGAAGAGAGCCTTCTATATATGCAGCATTTGCTTTTAAAATAGCATTTGCCATTTTTTCAGCAACATCACATTGTTGACTCATACTCAGTCTGTGATTTACAACAGTTCCAAGATCCTTTTCCTTGCAATATTGTTGAGCTAAGTATTCCCCATCTGGTAGCAGTGCATTTGGCTTCTTTTTCCTAGGTGCAAAACTTAACACATTCTTATTGTGCTGCAGTGGGCACATCAGACCCTATGACCCCCTGTTGAGCTACGGGCTCCTCACACTTCTCTGTCCCCTCTTTTTCACTGCCAGGTGGCACCTCATTCCAGGTGTGTGGAAAGCTGTCACCCCGGATATGCCAAGCAGACTCAGGAAGGGAAGCCACCCTGCTGCTACGCTTGTGCCCCATGTGCAGAAGGGACCATCTCCACTCAGCAAGGTGGGCCTCTACAGAGGAAAGGTTTCTCCATTTGAACATAGGGCAAACTCTCTATATGTAATAGGTGGCTCATTTCCAAATGAGCCATCATCTGAAAGGAACAGGTTAGTGAATAAGCAGGGCAGTGTTTCAGTTGTGGCCCCCTGTCAAAGGAAAACCATACCCAGGAAGACTCATGCTCAGCCAAGAGTGATGTGATCCCAGTGACAGAGGAAGCAACCTTCATTTGATCAGCCATTTTAGCTCTGTTGTTGCTCTTGTTCTTTGCGTCATCCCTATTGTGATCCCATCTTCTTCTTAGAAATTAGCTGACGTTCACTTTGGGACATTACTGTTGAGGGTAGGTTTTGAAGTCAGGACAGTATCCAAGCAGGGCTCCAACCATGCCCTTTCCATCCTGCCCCTGTGATTTGGTTGTCCATGCAACCACTGCAAGACATTCTGTCAGATCCTGACATTCTTTAGCAACTGGTGGAACTACTTACTCAACTCTGTGTTGTAGGCCTCATAAAATTGAAATAGAACGAAATGAAACAAAGTCACTTTCTACCACTAGAACTTGGTTCTCCACTTGCAGTGGAGATGCAAATGGGAAAACTGCAGACCTACTACCGTAAACATTATGGGCCTTAGCATAGCTGAGCATCACCTGTTCATTCATTCATTCACTAGATTTACTTTCCATCCCTTTTGCCAGAAATGCCAAAATTTATCATCATTTCATTGACCACATATTGACTTTTTAATGTTCACTGTCTGTACCTCCATCATGTCCTCCAGAGATGGGCTGGTGTGTCTTGAAACTGCAGGGCCTCCTGTGATGGTGATGCCACAGACAGAGCTTTGGAAACAAAATCTTTGTCCCCTCCCTGGGGACCTTGGCCTCTCTCCCTGTCAGACCACATACAATTATCTCCTGATGTTTCCCACATCCACTTCTTTACTAAATGCAGTAGATGCTATTCTGGATATCCCATTGATGGTGGCACTGCTGAAGTGACTTCCCTTTTTTCCAGATGCAGAGCAGTGCAGCAGGTGTTCTGAAGATCAGCACCCGAACAAGGACAGAGATCGCTGTATCCCCAAGAGAATAACCTTCCTCTCCTATGGGGAACCTTTGGGGATTATCCTGGCTACCTTTGCCATGATTTGGCTTTTAAGCTCAGCCCTTATGTTTGGAATCTTCATCAAATTCCAAGAAACTCCAATTGTCAAAGCCAACAACAGGAACCTCTCCTATATTCTCCTTCTCTCCCTCCTGTTTTCCTTTTTGTCTACCTTCCTGTTCATTGGGCAGGCAAGAAAAGCAACTTGTCTGCTCCAACAAACAGCCTTCAACATCATCTTCTCAGTTGCCACCTCGAGTGTGTTGGCCAAAACCATCACTGTGGTGCTGGCCTTCCTGGCTACCAAGCCAGGGAACAGAGTGAAGATATGGCTGGGAAGAAGTATGGTAATTTCCATTGTCATTTCCTGTTCCAGTGTCCAACTGGTCATCTGCTCCATCTGGCTGGGCATGACTCCACATTTCCCTGACTCAGACATGTACTCCCAGCCTGGTCACATCATCCTAAAGTGCAATGAAGGCTCTGTGGTCGTGTTCTACACTGCCCTTGGCTACATGGGCTTCTTGGCTGCCATCTGCTTCACTGTGGCCTTCCTTGCCAGGAAGCTGCCAGGGGTCTTCAACGAGGCCAAGCTAATTACTTTCAGCATGCTGGTCTTTTGCAGTGTCTGGGTGTCCTTCGTGCCCTCCTACATGAGCACCAAGGGGAAGTACATGGTGGCCGTCCAAGTTTTCTCCATCTTGGCCTCCAGTGCTGTGCTGCTGTGCTGCATCTTCCTACCCAAGTGCTACTTCATTGTCCTGAGGCCTGATCTGAATACAAAGGAATATCTCATGACCAAGGGCAAAGATGACATCTGATTGAAGTGTTTCATCTTTGGAACGGGAGTCTGGATATCTGCTAATACGATGGTCTTTTCAGGTGTGGTCCCCAGGTCATTGACTGCACCCCCTAGAGAAGCTCACCTGGCTACCTTTTGATTCTATGTGAAGCCGTTTTTCTTCTATGCATCAACATTCTTCAGCATTTGTTGCTTTTAAAATTTACTGTAGCTTTTAATTAGGGTGTGAAGGTTATGAAAATTGTCAAGGTTTTGAAAATTATCTTCATGTTCTCATTTTTCCACTGGGATCATTTCCTTAAGCCAATCAAACACATCACCTCTACCTTGTTTCTCTTCTTTGGATGTTTTGTGATTCTTCTTAGATTAAGATTAGTTCTATGATTTTCATTCTAACCCTAACTCAAGCTGGAACCCCTTCTCCTGATCTTATCCTCGATGCAACTCCCTTGGTCCAAACCCCTTTGACCATTCCCAGAAACTTTCCCTCAGGCTCAATCTCAGATCCACCAAATCCACCTTCCTCAACCTTTTCCATTTGTAGGGCTACACCTTGGGCTTTGCTTGAGGAGGTAGAAGTTTCTTCAGGATGAGCAGAACAAGTGGGATAACAGGAGAATATTTTCCTTTGACTTGGCTTTTGCGTTCTCAGCAACACTCCTCTATGGTGAAAGCTCCAAGATGGCCACATCACAGGTGGGAAAATTACCAGTCTTAAAACTTAATGTAAATATACATAAAGAGTTTTTGAAAATAGTAAATATACAAGTTCACCAAAAATACTCCTGAAATGATATTCAATTTTAGTGATAGATTTATGCAAATGTATTAGATTTAAGTTAGGAGACACAGTATATCATTAAGATAAGAATGAGAATGAATTCTGCTTTTGTCATGGATTTTCATGCTCAGGTGTACTTGTTATGATATAATAAGTATTTTTACTAAAAAACATAAAACCAAACCCCAACCCCAACCCTCACCTTTTTCTTCCAGTTGATATTCTTTTTGATTGATAGTGCATCTCCACTGTATTTGATTTAGTCAGTACTTTGTGTTGTGTGATGTAATGGTCAATGCTGTAATATTTTATTTATTTATTTATTTATTTATTAAAACATTTATATGCCGCCCCATTCGCTGAAGCCTCGGGGCGGCTTACAACAAATAAGTTAAATAACATTTTAAAATATATACATTAAAATAAAGCACGAATATACAATATAAAATAAGCCGCCCTGGCCAGAAAAATTCAATAATATTAACATTTAAAATGCTGCTTGAATAAAAAGGTCTTCGCCTGGCGCTGAAAAACCAATAACGACAGCGCCAGGCGGCCCTCTCTGGGGAGCGCATTCCATAACTTAGGCGCCACTGCTGAGAAAGCCCTCCTCCGAGTAGCCACCCTCCTAATTTCTTTCACGGAGGGCTCCCGGAGAAGGGCCTCTCCCGCCGATCTACCATTTTTGATTCTCTGCTTTCATTGGAGTAACAGTCTGCATAATGATCTCCTGTGTTGATTTAGTTTTGACTTGCATCTTTTTTTCTAGCCATTTCAAATATTCTTTCACCCTGTTGCTCTTGTCTCCTAGTTCTTTGATGCCAGTTACTAGCATTTTTCTAAAGTCTTTCATCATCTTCTCAGGTCCTGCCATCTCTCCAGCTTTCTTGAGCTCCTTTGCTCTTCAGACACTGAAGATATAATTCTAGTTAAACATAGATCTGACAGCTTCCTTATATCTCACTGGATTTTTTTGACATTCATCAAACATCCAGCAGAGGGAGCCCTTTAAGCAGAATGCTCTCTCACTCTGTCAGTCAAAAACAATGCCACAATCTGCCTTCTTCCTTCAGCTTTACCTATGAAGTTCTCCATTACTCACAAGTTTTTCAATGTTCATCTTGACAATATTATCTTTAATGTCCAGGTCAAATTACAAAAGCACTTAGTAAGTAAAACTTTTTCCCCCCTTTTAATCTTTAAATCAATAATTTTCAGTCTTTTCTCCTCTGCTGGGATAAATCCACTGAGAAAGATGCTGTTTACACAGGATGGAGCTCATAAATCTTCTCAAGGCAGTGGAATGATGCACTTCAAGGTCTAATCAGGCCAATAACCAAAAGTCCCTCCACATGTGGCAATATGAATACTATCAGTCTGAAATTTGACAGAATTGAAGGCCTCCTGATGGTCACAATGATCACCAAGTTTCCACTAATTTGATCCACAAGTGCCACTTTTATATGAAAACTTATGGCTTTGGGATCTCCTGCCCAGGTACAGTCTTTGGAATCATTTTAACAGACTTGCATCTAATTGAATTTCCCATAACGTTCTGGTCTGTGTCCACTTCATTTGGGCTTCACACCTTGCTTTGGACCAGAAGACTTGGTGGTCACCCTATGATGACACTTGCTGAGAGGGGGACCAAAGAGGGTGGCCATCTCTGCTCTCTGGGGCCTCTTGACCCACCCACCCCCCTTTAATGCCAGGCCATGAAACTTCCCTAGTTTGGCTTGGATGCTCTAGAATTACCACAGAAGCATCTGTGCCTGGTGTGCATTGGAGAGGGAGCAGGGCAGGGAAAGGTCCTCCTCTGCCACAATGTGAAAGGTGCTCCCTGGCTCCCTCTTGACTCTCTGCACAAAATGTCCACACAGAATTCAGGCAGAGGATGAACAAGGACCTGCACATCACATGCTCTTCCCCATGAAGGAAGCAGAGGATGATTCACAGATCTCCTCCTGGGTGGGCTTCTGCATGATTTTGGTGGCACAAGGCTTCCTGTGCAGTGGAGAGACTTGGTTCCTTAGCCTGTCCTTCCTGGCCCAGATGGTAAGGATGAGACACCATTCAGGCCCATCCTCAAGAGGATCCCTTCCTGGATCCAATGGTGGCTCAACACTTCCTTTGATTTTTCCCCCTCCCTGCATTGCTTTTGGAGCTGCATTTAGTCCAGGAAGTTGCAGTGCTGAGGCTTCTGCCCTTCAGTACTACTGCAATCATAGTGATTCCTGCCACTTCTCCCCAAACCTTGAGGGAATTCCCTTGAGACATCTTTCCACTCAAGAATGTCAATGGGAGCATCTCATGCTGTATGCAAAACATGTTCATGGAGGCTGCAGAAGTCCTGGCATGGGTGGTGTCAAGGTGACCCTTGTGCCCCTGAAAGTCGAGTCTATCTTTATTTGCATTCTACATAGGCCTTAGCATATAAAATATGAATGTTAAAAATTAAAAATAGAATAAAATAAAAACAAGTAAGATGTTGTGAGGAGGTAGAGGGGCTCACCCATTTTCCTGGGACCCTCAATGGAGCAGGGCTGAAGACAACAGGGCATGGCAGGGAGTCTGTTTGGGGAGTACAACACAGAGAATGCAATGTCCAGGAGAAGGGGTGAGTGCACAGCTGTGCAAGATTGCCTGTCGGGGAAGGAACATCTGGGTTGGGTGGAATGGTGCATGAGAAGGAGGGAAGAGGACCAAAGCAGGCAAGGGCCTAGACCAGGGGTCGGCAATCTTTAACTCTCAAAGAGCCATTTGGACCTATTTCCCACAGAAAAGTAAACATCGGGCGCTGCAAAACTCTGTTCAGTTACCCTTAAGCCAGGTTGTGGAAGGGTCGATTGGTCACAGGGCCTCAAGTATAAGTCCTCCTGTTCTGATGTCTGATTCTCTCTTTGGGCATTTGACTCTTCCTCGTGAGGTGCCGCCTCTGTTGAGGCATCAGGCATGACAGGGAGCTGTCTCCAAAGATGTTCTTTCTCCAGGCTTTTTTACTAGAGGTGCTCCAACACAGGTCAGGCCCAAATTTGCTTCCCCTCTTCATTTCTAAAAGATGGAACCACATCCTAGAGGCCTCACAAACATGTTGTTCTTCTTGCCCTGAAGAATGAGGGCAAAGAATGGGCCAGGAGCAGATGCTTCCATCCCTTGGGATGCTCACAAATACAGTAATGTACTTTTATTGCTACCAAAGCCCTCAAGTCATTTATGAGATTGCTGTTGTGACTAATCAATGAAACCTCAAAATCAAGACCCAGGCCAGGCAAGTATCTGCACTGTGCTGAGAAGCTCGGTGCATAAAACAGCTGTGATGGTACTGAGGGCTTGGGATGAGCATTAGTGCAGGCAGGGAGAAAGAGGGAAGGGGTCTCTGGGAGTTTCTCAGAGCTCTGCTTTGCTCGGGATTCAGCATAGTGCAGAGGTGTTTCTTCACTTTCCACACCAGCTGAGAGCCAGAGCAAAGACATGTGGCAAGAGCTTCCTGGCTTCTCTGGATGAACTGAGATGCAGGTGAGAGCAGCAGCTGACACCAGGGATCTCCCGCAGCCCAGCAAAGCTGCAATGTTGCTGCTCCTGCTCCTCCTGCTGCTGCCTCACACAACCTGTGAGAGAGAGGAGTGTCCCTGGAACCTCCTGGGTGATGGAGCACTCCTGTATCACCACCCAGGAGACTACCTGCTGAGTGGAGTCATTTCTTCCCAGTTTTTCCAGCACCAGCAGCCCTATGACTTTTTGAAGTCCCCCTTGAGCAGGGTTGAATGGTGAGTAATGCGGATTCAGTGGTTCTCCATCTGCACTGGAGTTCTCTCCAACATGTGGAGACCACCCATGTTTATGTCCCCCTCATCGTCCTTAGGAATTCCCTCTCTATCTTTTGACCTTATTTGCTCTTGTGAATGGAAAAAAATTGTGAGCTCTGTGAACTCAAGGGCAGCATCCAACCTCACATGCTTGCTTATGGCTGGCCATTGCTTGTCTGCTTTGAAGCTGAGCAAGAGAGGGCTACTTGCTTCAAACCCCATGAGAAGACCCAGGCTGGAGCCATGGCAGCTCTTTCTTTGTGTGGCCTCAGCCCTGCAGCCTGATTAGGTGCTCATTACGAAGTAGCAAATGTAGATGGATGAATTTGGCTCCAGCTTTTCCTAAGTAGGTAGAATGAAATGCATAGTGGACAATTTCAGAAGTTGTGAAGGGTGGATACTTAGACATATTACCTTGGCTTGATAATCTTG